GTCGAAAATGTTTATTATCAATTGGAGATATCCAATTTGATGATGCAGCAACTGCCTTTGTCCAATTATCAATTAAATTTTGAACTGGTTTATTATTTAAATCATTAATTAATTTTGATTTATTTTGATTTGAAACAACGGATGATGTTGATGGTGGTGGCGAAGGAGTATTACTCGTATTATTGTTATTATTATTATTATTGTTTACATTTAATAAATCATCATCATCATCGTCATCGTAATAATGATCATCATTACCATCTTCCGATTGTTGTAATTGAAGTAAAAATGATGATGATGATGGTGTCATATCAAGATAATCCAATGTACGACGCATTGCACACATAATTGTGGGTGGAGGAAATGAAGCAACCATTGTTATATTGGGATTATTTGTATGATATTCTTCATCGAGGTTTTCATCAGCTTCATTTTCACTTTGATCTTCTTGATTATTATTATTATTATTATTTGTATTATAATTATTATATGAATAAGATTGTCTACTTGATTCGTCATCTTTAATTGGATCAAATTGATTTTTTGATATGTTTGTTGATGGTGCAAGAAGTGCAGAAATTCGATTAACAATCCAAGAAAATAAACGATTGTAAACTAAAATATATTCAATAAAATTTTACCTATCTATATAAAATCAGAAAATGAATTAGGGATGAGTAGTTTCGATTTACTGTGACACTGGCTATACAGACATAGTGTGCACCGGAGCACTAAAAACGCCGAATTTACTAATGTCCTAGACATGATCGATATTCAAAGGGGGAAAAGTGAGACTTCATCTACTTCAAAACTGTTTTGAAGTACGATGGAAGTACAGGGGAGTACGATAGGAGTACAATGGGAGTACAATGGAAGTACGGAAATATCGCTTTTTCTCCCTTGTCGATATTCCTGTTGCTTCTAATCTCAAGGACCTATAATTTTACATTAAGTCAATTTATATCGATTACTACAGCTAATATCAGTGTTTTATCTAGATTTCATTTCTCGGATGGGCGAATCGAAATCTAGGGTGAGCGGCGCCCACCCGCTGGATAAAACACTGACTAATGTGTTCTTCGCTAAAACCAAAATAATTAACTGGTTATTTATACAATTAGTCAGAAGACTTCCCGTAGCGTGATTATTTTTTATTTTTATGTACTCAAAAAGTGAGTACACTACTAGAATCGATCAATGTGTCTGGTCGTTTACATGATAACTTTCGCAAGGAGAGGGAGGTTTTCATGAAACTCTGTACACAATTCAGTCTCATCAAGATGTCGGCCGAGTTCGAAGATGAGCCTAATTAGCCGGATTATTCCCGAGTTATTGCAAATATACTAATATTTCCCTATGATATCCATATACACTTTTTGCAGTACACATAACTCTCGGATAAAATCCGAAGTTTCCACATTTATTTGATTACATTATCTATTACTGTATAATAATAAGAAACTTACGAGCTTTTGCCATTGCATCTCTTGTCGATTGTGATTCTTGTAATGTTGTTGAACGTTGAATAGTTTCACCACGTGTAACAATATTACATGTTGTTAGCGCTAATTCAAATTCCGCTAAATCCAAACCAAATAATTCACAAATAATATTTAATAAATATTTATCTGATAAACATGTTTTTCCATCAATAAAATTTCCTTCATTTTGATGAAAATTAATATTTCCTAAATGTAAAAGTCCAGCTAAAATTCTATAAATTGATTGTATTTCATCGAATTGAAAACCAATAATTTGAAAACATTTTTCAATTGTATGAAATTTTTCTTTAAAATTTTCTGATAAATAATGTTCATCTTCTCGATCAATTTTTAAATATCGATATGTTTGATTTTTAACTAGATAAAAAGCTTGTTTATCATTTGGTATTGATGATGCTAAACCATGAAATAAATAATAAAATATATGAAAATTTCTCTCCGCATGTCCTTGATTAACCACACGAGTTTTTTCTAATAAATATTCTGATAAACGTGCACCTGTAACATGTCCTTGTTTAGTAAATAACATTTCAAGATATTTACCAAAACGTGATGAATTATCATTAATTTTTGTTCGAGCATTACCAAAACCTTCAATTAATGGATTAATTTGAAGAATTTTTTCTTGTAAACTTTTATTTGGTGCATTGCCAAGAAATGTTAATTGTTTAACAAGAAAATTAGCTGAATGAGTTTTACCTGAACCACTTTCACCTGATATAACAATAAATTGATTTTCTAAATCATGTAACATAGCTTGATAAGTAAAATTAGCTAATGCATAAATATGTGGTGGTTGTTCACTTTTGATACTTCCACGATAACGAATCATTGCATCTTCACCATAGATAGGTAATGATCGAAATGGATTTATAGCCTTAAAATATAAACAATTAGTCAACTTTTTTCATAAGATTCATGATCTATTGATAGAAAGAAGTATTCAATTATAATCTCGGATTTGTATGAAATTCTTTTAGTCATAGTAGTATTAATAATATTGTATCGAGTAGGATTATTCATGGCTCTTATGTAATAGTTCTTATATCGCAACAAACATATTCTTTTCTACTAAATACAGAGTGATAGAAGAAAAGAAATGAAATATTATGATCAATTATTATCATACTGTCTGATGACGGTGAAGAACTTTAAGAATAATAAAAAAAACCAGTACTAGTTCTACACTTAAGATCGAAAATAGAACATTGCTATGTTTAGTTACTGTCGTTGAATGATTTTCCCGAACCCGATTTTATTTAACTAGTATCTAGCACTCTCAGTCTACAAGAGCAGAAAAAGATACTAAACTCTCTATTGTAGACTCATATTCTTAAGATTTTAAACTTACAACAAGAATATCACCAATATATGTATAAATTTGATTTGATAAAAATCGATTATACATATGAGTCATGATTGATTGTTCATCAAAAGTTTCTAATTGTGCTAAATCATCTGTTGTTATTGAATTATTTGGATAAACTGAATCATATGTTGAATTATAAAAATGTTTATGTTCGGATTTTTTTGTTAACGATGGATGACATACAGGTATATCTTCGGAATTTTTTTCATATAAATAAAATTGCGTTGTTTGGTTATCATTTTGTATTTGTTTTTGTTGTTGTCGTATTTGAGATTTTCGTTTTGTTTTACAGTTTGAATTATGATGTCCATTTTCATTTAAACTTACGGGTGGTGGCGGTGGAGGTGCTGGTCGTTTATGACTTTCAGTTGGTTTACTAATTACTTGTAACATTCGTTTCGATGGTTGTATACTTGGTTCATTTGAAGATATATTTGTTGTTGCAGCAGCAGCAGCAGCAGCTTCAATCGCAATTGATGAACAAGTTTCAGATTTTCCTCGTATATGTCCATTTTTAATTCCACATGTTTCACGACTTGTTTTTTTTACACATAAATCATAACAACGTTTATAACGTTGAACAATTTGTACAATTGAATGACGTGCTTCAATATCATCAATAGGTATTTGTGTAAGAAATGGATGATTTAACATATGTGCAACAGTGGGTCGAATTTCAAAATCTTTAATTAAACATCGACGAATAAAGTCATTAAATTCATTTGACCAGTCATGTGGTTGACGTAAACGTGGTGGTGGATTTCGAGGAATAGAAACAAGTGCACGCATAGGATGCATTTCAGCAAGTGGTGGTTCACCTATAAAATATTAAAAAAAAACTATATAGACTTTCTTTGATATCATTCAAAAACATTGTATTCTACCTTCGGCTATTTCAATGGCTGTTATTCCTGTTGACCAAACATCTGCACGTGTATCATAATCACAATCCATTTGTCGTTCACAAACAATAACTTCAGGTGCCATAAAAAATGGTGTACCAACAGAAGTACTTCGTCGTCCTTTCGTTGGATTAAGATAAGCACTAACACCAAAATCAATTAATTTTATATGACCATCACCTGTAATTAATATATTATGACCTTTAACATCACGATGAACAACATTATTTGAATGAAGATGATATAAAGCTTTCAATGTTTCACGTATAATATAAGCAATAATTGATTCATCAAGACGTTGATTTGCTTTAAGCATTGATTTAGCTAAATCTGTTACACTACCACTTGTACATAATTCCATAACTAACCATAATTGATCAAGTTGACACGCTGGTATTGAATTACTGAAATTATTTATTGAATTTGTTTCTACAGAAAGAAGATTTGTTTTATCCCGAGGTGTTGTAGGAGATGTAATAGGATTTCGTGGAGGAGGTGGTGGTGGAGGTGGTGCACGTTTTAAATAAGCACCATAAAAACGACAAAGATTTTCATGATTAGAAAGTTGAAGAAGTACACGATATTCTTGTTCAATTTCTTCTAGAACTTCATTGGTTGGATGCATAATTTTAACAGCAGCACTAAAATCTGGATTACGAATATTTTTTGCCTAGAGATAGTTTAAAGCAAAAAAAAAGAGTATTAACAGAAGAAAAACAATTTTTTTTTAATTACACGAAATACTTCGCCATAAGTTCCATCACCAATATTCTCAAATAATTGCCATTCACGATCAGGTGATGGTAATTCATCAAGTCGAAAAAAACTTGGTTGCTGTTTCTGATTCGATGTTAATATAATTGTTTGTTGTTGTGATGATGCACGTGAACGTGTACGAGGTGGAATAGGTGGAATAGGTAATAAGGATTCTGGTAGTGGTGGTGGTGGAATTGAAGGTGGTGGAGGAGGAGGGGGATGATGAAGTAAATGTGGCATTTTGATATTAATAAAACTGTAATGAATTAAACAATTAAAGTTGTTGAAAAAGAAAACGTGTAAGAATAGTCATTGTTTTTTTATTCTATGTTGAATAGTTGATGTCGTATGTTTCTCTTGCTCTATTAATCCGTTCAATCAATAAAACCACACCTATTAACTAACAAATCATTAGAGTACGCACGTATGATCAATTAATTTTGTTTCTTTCCTATATACATATATACAAACAAGAAAGAATATTGTCTGTATTGATTTTTTTTCTCGTCGATAAAATGTTGTCTGTTACAATTGATCAAATAACATAGTAGTCGATGTTAAAGATTAATAGAGGTTGATGTAAACTTGTATGAATATAAGCGAAAGTCAACAGACGAAAGAAAAAAAACAGTCTTTTACTCAATTTCGATCGACTAGAAATTAAGACTAATCTCTGATAATCAATACTCAATTATTGATATTTAGAAAAGAGCAGAAGTCGAATAGAGCAGTACATCTAAACAATAGTTTTATCATGTCTTTCGTCTACTGATGATGAATTGTTTTTTTTTTATTTTCTTGTATTAGATAAAAATAAAATTATAACTTTTATTAGCAAATTTATTCAAAAAAAAATATATTATAAATTACATAAAACAAAACTCTATAACATAAAAAAACACTGTTGTATATTATCTGTTTGTCAAATATAAAAAAGTATTCCTATACATTGTTCTATGAAGGGCAAATATATTTATGTAAATGTATAGTTGTACAATCTTTTAATAAACGGATGATGGTTACCAGTAATAAAAATTTTAGTCAATCGTGATAGTCGTTCTTATTGAATAGAAACTATTTTTCTGTTTATGTTGTGAATAAGTTCATTTAACAATGGCATAGATGAGCAGGTATGAACGCCCTCTATTGATCATTACTCTTATCAAATAGAATGAATTCATCCAACCTATACCTTTCTCACCTCACCTATGGTGTCCTTTCAAACAGAACAAATAAAACGAACAAGGTCATTGATAGTTTGAAATAAGAATGAACATTGAAAATTGAAACTGTTGTTTTTTTATACTTTGAGCAGTATTTCAATCAATATTTTAGATGATTTTACATTTCATCTCTTTATTTCTCATTTTTCTTCAGTCATTTACTTCTGGACAAGTACTCGGTAAGTCAAAAATCTATTAATTAACATACTAAAATGCTTTATGCATGTGATAAACTTTCTTAATTGTTATGTATTGTTTGTTTTTTAACCATAAAAAGAATGTCCATATGGTTGGAAAGAATTTACCGGTACGGCTTCTTGCTATCGCTTTGTTCGTTATCCAAAAGCAAATTATGACAATGCTATTGCTCTATGTCAGGTCCGTTGAATTAATTCAATATTGTTTTTTTTTCTTCAACTACTAAAACTTTTTTCTATAGACAAGTCTTTTGAGTGTTGAATCATTACCCGAACATTTATTTGTACAAGATTGGTTAAATGTACATGATCCTTCAACACAACGTTGGATTACAAGTGGTCGACGTAATGGACCATTTTGGCAATGGGCAAAATCAACAGGTTTAATAAATTTACAATTTGATCAAGGATGGTTACCACGTACTGAACAAGAACAACGAATACGTTCATATCTTGTCTATGCTTATCAAAGTATAAGATTATTTTTTTTGATTTTATATTATCTGATTTAATTATCTATATATATATAGGCGGACAATGGGGTTGGTTACCATATGATATAGCACCGGCGGAAGTTTTACCATTTATTTGTGAAGTTCCTATACGAGATACCTATGGTGTTATGACTAGTTATCGAGGCATTGGTATGATGAAATATATGTGAATACTATTTGATTCTATTTTCTTTTTAAGAATATGGTCTTCCATCAAATATTGAACAACGTTTTGTTCCTCGTGCACCGAAATTTTATGAACAACCTCAAGATCAAGAATTTGGTCGAATCGATCAAATAACACTGGGTGGTGGTAGTACATTTGGTATTAGTAAATTATCATTAGCTATTGTTGTAACATTAACATGTCGAGCTGATGCTTATCCAGTTTCTGATTATTAGTATGTATATAATAGAATAATTCAAAATATAATGATCTGTTTTATTTTAGTTGGTTTCGAATGACTAGTGGTATTATATCTGAAGCAGTCTTTGTTAATTTAAATGATCCACGATATTTTCAACATGGTGGAAATTTAATGGTAAAAATTTGGTTTTTAAAAAAAAGTAATTTATTCATTGTATATTTAGATTAATAATCCAACTAGTGATGATAGTGGAACATATTTTTGTAAAGCTAGTAATATCTTTGGTACAGCTATTAGTAATCGTGTATATTTACGTGAAATAAGTATGTATATATTGATATGAAAAATGAAATAGTAATAAATTGATGTTTAGCATTGGGTCAATTTGAAAAACGTGAACGACCAAAAGTTATTGCAGATGGTCATCGTGATGCAATTATTGATTGTTTATATAAAAATACAAATACTGGAGATGTATATAATTGATAATTTTTTATTTTTAATATTCTATTTTATTTTCTAGCTTAATTATGCTTGGTTTAAAGGTGCTATAAATCAAAAAGTACAACAAACCGCTGAACGTTTTATATCTCGAAATGGAAATTTATATTTTTCACGTGTAACAGATGGTGATTCAGGAAAATATTATTGTGCTGTTCAATCTGAAAATACTCGTCTTCGTTATTTACCATCACAAACAAGTGAAGGAACAGAATTAGATGTTCGTTCAACATTTGGACAAGAACGTAGTCCACGTATATTTCCAAATTTTCCACATGTTTTTCCTACAACACGTTTACCAAGATTAGGTGAAAATGCATCAATTGAATGTATAGCTGAAGGTTATCCTGTTCCAACTTATCGTTGGTTTCGTGAAGATGAAGGTGGTGGTTTAGCTCCATTACAATCAAAAGCTATTCTACTTAATTTTAATCGTGAATTAATTATACCAAATTTACAACGTGATGATATAGGTTTATATCGTTGTGAAGCATCAAATACACGTTCAGTTGTTTATCAATCTGTTTCATTACAAGTACAAATTGATCCTGTTTTTGTTGTACCACTTGATGATCAAGTACTTGATATAGGAACTGTTTTATCATGGTATTGTGAAGCATATCCAAATGATTTAAATCAATTACGTTATTCATGGTTTATTAATGGTACAGAAATCTTTTGGGAACGTTTAACATTAGTACAACAACAACGTTTAACAATAACAAATAATCTATTGATGATTAATAATGTTCAACCATTTGATAATGGAATTTATCAATGTGCTGCAACAAATACACAAAATAATGTTCAACGTTTTAGTACAGCTGAATTACGTGTTATTACATTAGCACCAACATTTGGAAAGAATACAATGGTATCAACATTAAGATCAACTGTCGGAGGTTTAGTCACAATTGTTTGTAATCCAGAAGGTGCACCTAGACCACAAATACAATGGTTTAAAAATAATGTTCAATTAGGTGTTGAAGGAAGTGTACAAATTTTTCCTAATGGAAATTTAGCAATTACAAATATTCAATTAACAGATGCTGGTAAGAATAAAGTTCATGTATAATTTGAATTTTATAAGAATACAGTAGTAGAGAAATATTTTATTGATCAAGTCTTAATCATATCTCGAGTAGAATGAGTTTATATAATAGAATGGTTAGAAGTATAAGATGACGTTAAAGTGATTAAGACAAGCTTTAGTATTAAATATATATATCCGATTTTATTTTAGGTAATTATTCATGTATGGGAACTAATCAATATGGTGTCGCACAACAAAGTACCTATGTTTATGTTATGCCGGAAGGTACAACAATAATATCAACACCAGGTGGACGTGATGTTATTCTAAATCAAACTATTGTTATACCATGTGATGCTCGTTCAATGAATCAAATGGATTTAACATTCTATTGGCGTTTTAATAATGAAATTTTAACTATTGATAATAGACGTTTTCGACAAGATAATCCTGATCGTCCAGGTGATTTACGTATTATACAAGCTCAATATAGTAATGCTGGACGATATACATGTGTTGCACAAACAACAGTTGATGAACAATCATCATCCTATCAATTAAATGTTTTTGGTCCACCTGGACCAATGGCTGGTGTACGTTGTACACAACCATTTCAACGTCAAGTTACATTATCATGGGTTGTTGGTAATGAACATGGTGCACCAATAATACATTATACAATTGAATCATTATCTAATCATCGATCATGGTGGATATTTCATGGAAATTTTACTATTGCGGCTCCAGCAAATAAATTTATAACAATGACATTAACTGGTTTATCTGCATTTACAGATTATCGTTTTCGTGTATTGGCAACAAATATGTATGGTTCAGGTGAACGATCAGAAATTTCACCACCATGTGTTACACAACCAGATATTCCAGGTTTAGCACCAGCACGATTAGGTGGTGGTGGTGGAAAATTAGGAGATTTAAGAGTTGTTTGGGATCCATTACCAATGGATTTCTGGAATGGACCTAATTTAACTTATCGTATATATATACAAAAACAAGGAGAAAATCGACAACAAATATATACTGTACTGGATCCATTACGAAATTTTTTTATAACTCATCTGTAAGAAAATCTCTTTTTTCATCTTATATTTATTTTTTTTGATAAAATAGGTCTGATAAAATGTATTATTTTCCATATAATGTTCGTATCTCAGCTGTGAATATTCTTGGTGAAGGACCTGTATCTGGTAATGTAACAATACGTTCAGCTGAAGATCGTCCATCACGTCAAGTTCTTAATGTTAAATGTAATCCATATAATAGTACAGCAATGACTGTAACATGGGATATGATTGATGAAAATGATTATGCTGTTTTACGTGGTCGTTTACTTGGTATTTTTAAATAAAACACGAAAAATATATTCTATATTTTGAATATTTTTAGGTTATAATGTTCGTTATTGGCGTAAAGGTATTGATGAACTTACAAATTATTGGGAACGTCGTTTTCCAGGTCAACGTTCACGTGCTATTATAATTGGTCTTGAATCAAATATTGAATATGCTGTTCGAGTTTCTGTTTATACACAATTTGGTGATAGTCCTGAAGGTAGTTATTTTTCACATCGAACATTTCGTTTACCACCACTTATTCCACCACAATATGTAACAATTCGACAACCGAGACGTGATAAAGATAAACGTGTAAGACTAATTGGCGACCTTTATATGTATAAATTAGAAGTTGAATGGCGTGGAATATCAACTACATCCGATGAAGAACCATTAGAAGGTTATATGGTAAGAAAAACTAATTTTAATCAATTCATATATATGTATAATATAATATTATAGGTTAAAGTTTGGGAACATTATCAATCAATACGAAATGCAACAATTTATTATGTTGATGGATCGAAATATAAAATAACAATTGATAATTTATATAAAAATCGTAATTATAAATTACGTGTTCAAGCTTGGTCACTTGGTGGTGAAGGAAAATATTCATCACCTGAAAAAGAATTTCGATTTGGTAAGATTTATTTTTTTTCATATTATAAAGTATATAAAAATTTGTAATTTTTCTATTTAGATAATGATGGACGTTTATTAATACGTACGTATAACTTTGAAATCATTTAAAAAAAGTATTTAAATCAATTTTTTTTATTTATTTTCTAGTTTATAATCCTGATACAAGTCTTCTTTATCATAATAAATCATCGAAACAATATTCATCAATGACCATAGCGTTTATCTTACTCATTTGCTCTTGGATACTTAAATAGATACTTATTCAATTTTCTCAATTGCAATCAGATCTACGCCGTGTGTGTATTTTGTATTTTTTTTTATATTAATTTCACATTCTATTATTACTTTGTCCAATCTCGCATTCCATTTTATATCAAACACACGAAATACCTGTTTTTTTGTATTTCTATATTTAGTGTTGTGCAAAAACATTGTGAATTCACAATGTATTTCTTTTCTTCTGTATATATGTTTTATATTGATAGATATTTGTATCCACACATTCCATTAGTAATTGCTTTTCTTTTCTTTTTTTTTGGTTTTGTTTTCTTTGCTATAATATGAGTGGTTCTCAATAAAAATGAAGAATAATAATAATACGATGCACGTGAGAGCCATGCTTTGTACAAATATACAATTGATAAGATTTCATCAAATAAAGATACTGTTCCTTTCTATTAATTTAATATGATCGCAATAGATAAATTTGCATAAAAATACGATTTTTTTGAATTAAAAAACAGCCTACTGGTGTCGGAACCCTATATGTGCTAATGGTCATGAAAATACGATTTTTTGAATTAAAAAACAACCTACTGGTATTGGAATCCTATATGTGCTAATAGTCATGAAAATACAAAAATAAATCATATACTTTTTTTTGGCGAGAGAAAGTTCAATCACGTGAAATCGCAAAAAGAATAATGAATATTTTTCTATGTTTTTTTTGTCAATATTTAAATAATATTAATTTGAATAATGAAATACACTTTTTTTACTATAAATAGTAAGGATATAGGGCGTTCATTTAACAAATAAGAAAGTTCCAAAAAAAGTAGTAAGGCAGAATACGTAAACTCGTAGAGACATAACATAGTGGATATGTTGTACAATTCTCATGATTCTGCTAGGCCAAGTTCACAACATATGCTAAGTGATTCAAATAAATCTCGAAATAGTGATTGGCCAGCATCTCCAACTGATATTTCGTTCACAACAAGTCCCGGGAATTCAACCGATGAGACTGTGGAAAAGTATATGAGATGATATAACGGTATATTATTTATATTTTATTATATACATAGATCAACTGCAACTCGGCGTTGGAAACCTATTCTTATTGGTATGGTTCTTAGTTTATTACTAGGAAGTATTGCTATTGCAACAGTGACAACTATGTGGCTCCAGCCAAGTAAAATAATATATAAAGAATACTAGAATAGTCCTTTATCTATTATATTTTAGTTTCAACAGTTTCTACCACGACTGGTATGTGTAACGATCTTTTTAATTGTCATGAAATATCGTTTGTATCTATTATTAGTAACAACTACTAGCACAACTTCAGTAACAACGACAACTAGTACTACAACTTCAACGACTAGCACAACCAGTACAACTTCAGCAACAACATCAACTAGCAGTACTAGTACAACTTCGGTAACAACAACAACTAGTAGTACTAGTACAACTTCAGCAACAACAACAACTAGCACTACAAGTTCAACAAGCTCAACAACTAGTACAACTTCAGTAACAACAACAACCAGCACTACAAGTTCGACAAGCTCAACAACTAGTACGACTAGTATGTGAATATTTTCATATTCCTTTTCTCTTAGTAAACGTACAAATAATAATTTTCAATTGATTTTATTTTATTTTAGCTACTAGTGTTACTACGACTACGACAGCAACAAGTATATTTTCAATATCATATTCTGAAAGTTTTACAAATGGAGTTGCTGCTACAACTCAATGTACTGCATGGACAAATTTTGTTGCTCAATTAACAGCTTCATCATATTCATCATTAACAATGAGTGGTACATTTGATCCAGTCGGTATAACAACAACCGATCCTACTGTAGTAGCTGCTATTGCATTAGCTTTAAGCACATCAACTACATATGGACCGGTAACATCGAATGGTCATTCATGGATGGTTGGTAGTTGTGGTGGAACTGAGTTAAGCGCTAGTGGTTCTATTTGTGCATGCCCAACTTTAGATTATATTGTTCGCCCATGTATAAGCAATGCGAATTTTGGTGGGATAAATACTACTACTTGTGGTGGACCTACTCAAACAATGACAGTAACATTTCAATGATATTCATATATATACTGAATTTTATAGTTGTAAATATATATTCAATAATCGCTATTAGTTTATTATGTAAATTAGACATAATCATTCTATTTTTCTTATTGCTCACAAAAATAATACTTTAGGTTAATTTACAAAAGTCATGTTGTATTTCAAATAACGATTTGTATCGATTATTTATCAATCAAATGTAGGCGACAAGTAATATATGATCTCATATGCTAATATAATGACACCTTTTTCTCTTTCTTTCTTTCTTTCATTCACCCTTTTCGCAATAAAGTGACATCTCATTCAATTGACTTCAAGCTAGTCAAATGAGAGATTGAAGTTCTACTCCCTATCCCTTTTCTTCATATAATATCGTCACTCATGTTAAGACATTAATAGTACCTACAGCATTTTTCTTCTGATTACTTTTTTTTCTTCTTCTTTGATTCTTGTTTGCATATAGAACTTTTGACGTTCGTTGAACTTCTTGTCAAGACAATATTATATTATAGAAACTATGCATAGTCAAGTTGAATCTCAACGTTTTCATTATACACCAAGAATACATGCTCGTGAACGACCATTACATTGGTTTATTATATTTATAAGTTATCTATTTATTTTTCTTCTTGTTCTTGAATCAGTTGCATTTATTGTACTTGGTGCATGGCATTTAAGTATTCCACGACTTGAAAATATTCTTGCATTTTCTGATAGAATCTATCGAAGAGAATTAGCTTTTGGTATTCTTCTCATTATTATTGGATCATTAGGTATTCTAATTAGTATTATTGGTATTATTGCTACAATTACATTACGTGTAGCAGTATTAAGAATAGTATGTATAGAAAAATAGGAAAAAAAAAACAAAATTAAATTTTTGTTTAATTTAGTATGCATCATGTTTATGGCTTTTAATGATATTTGGTATAATTATTGGAATTATTGGTATTATATTTGCATGTATGTTTAGATTTAATTTATTTTTCAGTAGCTAATATATTTCTGTTTAGCTCAAGTAGATGGATTTGAGGATGATGATCGATTACTTAATCCAAATTTAGTTGAAAAAAATGTAAATTTTTTAATTGAATTAATGAATAACATTGATATTCTTTTTCTTTTAGTATCATGAAGAAAAATTTTTATTAGGTATGAATGGAGGTTTAACCTTATTTATGAGTTTAACAATGGTATGTATAGATGACTAGTGTATAAATCTAATCAAATTAATTTCTATTCTTTTTAGCTTGTTGGTATTATTATTATTCATTGTTTGATTGGTGATGTAAATCATTCAAACGGTCATACTTATGTTCGATCGAAATAAATTAAAGAACTAAGAAGAAAAAAAATCTTTTCATTCGAATATGTTGTTTTATGTACATACATATAATAAAAGAAAGGGAAGATATTCATTCTATGTTCTAATCGTTTTGTAATATAGCACGTAGTGGAGAAGGTAGTAATTTAATATAAGATAAACAATGTGTATTCCTATTGCACATATATCACAACTGTCGTGCAGTTATTGAACAAATGTATTCTTTGATTATTTGGAAAATAATCTCGAAGAAAATACGCGATAATCCACACAGAAATTATAATGAATCATTTCTTCTAAAATATCCATTTGTAAGAAAGTCACAACTCAAAAACGATTTAGTGAGTCATATCCAAAGAAAAGAATAATATGAAGTAACACTGATCTATCCACATTCACACCTTTAACTTCTATTTGTTGATGATCAAATAAAATGGAACAAGTAACATTTCTTTTTCTTTAAAATATTAAATTACACAAGAAAAAGAATTAGAACGATAGAATAAAGGCCTATAGTTGTATACGTTGATGTTAATAAATAACTGATGTTAGATGATTTTCGAGTAGTATATCTAATATGACCGAATCCAGGTATTATATGATCTGGACGTGATGATCTCCATTTTGGAGTTATGACTTTTGTACGATTTTTTGGTGATACTGTAGTATTCACAGGTGGTGTAGTTGGTGGTAAACATGAAACAGTATAATTTGATGTTAAACGTTTAACAAGTGAAACAATTGGAAATTTTCCTTGATTACATGATTGACCTGAACTATCATCATAATTAACTGGATAAATAAAAATACCACCAAGACGTTGTTCTTTAGCATAATTGATCTATTACAAGAAAGTTTTTCTTATAAATGATTTTTAATTTAAGTTAGTTTTACTTTTAATTCCATACTTTGAAGATCATCATAACCAATAACTTCATCGCCTATAATAAAACGGAATTATATATATTTTAGAAGAGAAAATTAATTTATAGTGATATTAACCTTTTATCATTATAGGTACTTTACGATCATCAAGAAACACTCTTTGCCAACCAGACATCATATTTCGACAAAGCTAATTCAATATATATACATTATATAAATTTCAAAAATTATTATTTATTTTACTTCAGTATAAGGCACACTGCCTACACATGTAGCAGGACTTCCAAGATCATGTAAATCACTCGTTAAACGAAATTTCTTTCCAAATGCTGGAAGACCAACTAATAATTTCGATGGTTCAATGCCAGCATTAGTTAAATATTTAATTACTGAATCCTAATGTAATAAAAAACATTTACTTTTAGAACAAATTCTTAATAAAAAACAAACCTGATTTAAATCTTTATCATCGCCTTCAGCACTTGTTGCTTGCATTAAAGGACTATGATGTTCAGCAATTTTATCTCGTGAACCTCGATAATCAAATGTTTGAACATTAAGCCAATCAGCACATCTATATGAATACATAAGAATTCTAAAGATAATTCTATGATAATATCTAACTTAGACAATTCATTTAAATCAAAACGTGATTCAAGTTGTTGTTTTATTCCAGAAATAGTAACAGTAAGTAATAAACGAGGTCGTCCTGTTCGACCAGCTTCTTCAGCATATTCTTCTTGTAAATCCTATGAATGAATAATATTAAAACATAGTTTTGAAAATTTCACTGATTTTACTTTACACAACGTTGATAATCTTTTTTTATCTTCAATTAATTGTGGAGTAGGTGTTGATGGTGGTCCTAAAGCTTCACTTGGTTCAAAATTTAAATCAAGTCCATCAAATTCATGCGTTCGTAAAAGTTTAGTTGTTGAAATAACAAATTTTTGACGATATTCATCCTTCGACATCATTTCACTTGCACGTTTAATTGCATAATCTTGACCACCAATAGCTAATAAAACTTTTAATGTTGGATCTTTCGTATTTTTAAAATCTTTCAATGGATTATTCCATACACCTAAACAAAATAAAAAAAAGATATAACGAATGATTATTTGATTTCGTTCAAACTTACCAGTAAGTGTATTATCATCTTCGATACGTGCAAATGTATAAACAATATGTGTACAATTTTTTGCATCTGGATGAATACCAGTCCAAGATGAAAAATAACACATAATTTTAAATTCTCCATCACAATCACTATTAATTAATGGTAGCATCATACTGAATAATATTAGTGTTAAACTCATTGTTGTTGACTACTTATCAGTCAGTGAACTATAAGTGACAGAGAGAGAGCAAGAGAAAAAGAAAGGATAGCCGTTGTAATCGACATTCGTTGTCGTGAAAAGTTTTGTTCGGACAATAAGAAAAAAGTTACGATGATTTTATGTGTCCGATGTAGTAGTAAATAAATATAGGCTCAAACGATTAGCTCGTTTCTATTTTTCGGATACAATTGTATATAATCATTCTATGTTATTGACTTAACGTAAATAATTTTATTTTTTGTCAATATTATGAACGAACCATCTTGTTTATAGTTTGTTTAAAATAATTTAGCTGTTTTTGGATAAATAGAACAGATCATTTCAAAAACATAGTATCATTCAAAATAATAAGATGTCATGGTCTGTGTGGATGAGGGTAGTGAGTGCATATCTATCGTATCTGGGTCTATTAAGTTTGACATTTTTTTCGTAAAATTATATGAGACTTGTAAGTTAACTAGTCTATATAGTTGAAAACTATTTATATTTCTGAATCATTATTGTACCGCGTAAGAAATAGAATCTGACTACTAGAAGAAAGAAAGAAAAATAAATATATATATGTACAGTTAAATGAAGATTATTTGTGACCTGTATATAAATGCCGTCAGAATAGGGGTGAAGTAGGTGACGACACACATATATATATATATAGAATAGGATCAAACAGTTATTTACTTATACAATTTCGTTTATAGAGATATTTATTTTTTACTGTTGATATTTAATTAAGTATGATAATGCATCGATTTATTATATTACTTGTGTTAATTGTTCTTATTGATGCTAATTCTGATGATCAAAATTTCGAGTAAGTAAATTAAATTTTGATGTAAATAATATTTGAATTTGGAATGTTTAGAAATCGTCAAGAACGAAATATAGATCTTAATAATTGGCAATCAGCTGATGCATTATTTAAACAATGTTATCTAAATGAAAATCGTCAGATGGAAACAGATTATCGACGAAGAGTTTCAGGATATCCATCAAGAATGAGACCAGTTGAAGGACCAATTAATGTCGAACATATACCAGCAATGTTAGCAGCTAGACATGTTAGACGTTATCCTTATTCTCGACGAGATGATCCTGCTATTATGTAAGTTAATCTCATTCAAATATACATATCTATTATATATGATATTCCTTTTATTGTGTTATAGTGGTTGATAAAATATGAATGATTTCTTGCAATTGATGTGTCTTTTCTAAGTTTTTTGTTATTTCATTTTGAATTTTGTTTTTGTTTTATTTTTTACATTGTAATATTGATTTGAAAGACGATGTGATCAGATGTTTACTTATATAATTGATCCATTTAATAGATGATACTCGACAAACACAAAAACTTATATTTTATACATAGTTTAAGATGAAAATATTAATACTTAAACAAAACTAAAATTAAGTATGCATGATAAGAATACTGTGTCAGTTAATTTAGAACTATTGCATTATTATTAAAAGACTAAACAAAATCTGAAGCGATAAGATTTCATACACGTGGAAACTTAGAAATCACAGTAGAAAAGTCAAACAATCGAGTGAATTCTGTCAGTAGTTGTAATGTATAATTCAATACTGTTGTAGAAATTTTTCTACTATCGTTCAACGATAGTATCTCTTGAAGTCCATGTTTTATTAATAGAATAGTATTGCGTCGTTTAGATGCATCCATGAATGATCTACAAAAATAAATTTACTTCATTATTTCATATGACTATAAAATATAAACAATAACTGAATTCTGTCAATGAACTGATTTATATTTATTTTTATATTTATAATTTATTCATCTTCAAAACTTCAATGAGTTGACAATTATTGAGCAAAGAAAAGAAGTTCAGTCAATAAAACAAAATAACTAATCCATGTCATATGTATTCGTTTGCGTGTTAAACACTAAACTGGCGATATTAAAGAAGTTGAATTGAATATGTTCTTACTTTTGAGACTAAGATAAAATAATTAATTGTAAAAGTCAAATAAAATATTTTTATTAAATTATTTGCATTATTTTTTATTATTGAATATTTATTCATTTAGTTTGATTTTCTTTAAATAAAAAATATTTAATGATTTGTTAAATGATCATCTAATTGAAAGATTTTTTTCTTTTATTTCTCAACAGAATAGAAAATACATTCAATTATTCCTCACCATTTTATTATTTTAATTATATTCGGTGAATCATTTTATTAACTAATATAAATTTCATTCTTATTGATTTATCTTTTCTTTTTTCTTCCCTTTCTCTCAATAAATCACAAAATCACAAAAATAAATCAAATAAAATTACTGTTTAGAGGTTTTTATTAATTTAAATGTTTTTCTCAATTTGAAAATTATTTTATCTGATTTTTCTATAAAAATAAATTTTTTTCTAATTCACTTTGCTTTCAAATTCTTCTAATTTGATTCACTCAATGAAAATTTTATTCAAATTATTTTATTCATTTTGGCTCTCGCAATTAAAATTAAAACTAACAAATATTTATTTACATTTTTTTCTGAAAATGGAACACAAATTTATTTTTCTTCAAGATTTTTCATAAATTAATGTTTTTTTATCTATTTTCAAAAATAAAAATCCGAATTTTTTATCAAATCAAATCAAAAAGATTTTTAATTTCAAAGTTTTTTAAATTTTTGGATTCGATGATTCCAAGAATCAACAACATAAAGATTTTCTTCTTTATCAAATGATAAACCTTGAGGCCAATCCAATTGATTTGATTGATTTCCTTGACCATTTCCACCGACAACAATTTCACCTTCTTCATCTCCTTCACACCAACGCATTACTCGAGCATTATCACGATCTACCACATAGATTTGACCTAAATGATCAACAATAACTCCTAAAGGATAAGACAATTGATTGAGGCTATACCCTGGGCCATTTCCACCAGCAACAATAATTCCCTCTTTTGTACCTTTTTCCCATTTCATTACACGATGATTCGAAAGATCTGATATATAAAGAGAATAGTCTTCATCGATAAAGATATAAGTAGGGACATTGAGTTGATTAAGATGATTTCCTTTACCATTTCCACCTGCAACTAATTCACCTTTTTTATCTCCTTGTTTCCATCGTCGTACTTCATTATTCTCACAATCAGAAACATAAATAAATCCATTTTTATCGATTGTCAGGCCCCAACAATCAATATTGGAAACAATAATTTGTTGATTTGTTCGATTCTTATCAAAATAGCGAATTACTCGATTGTTTTCATTATCAGAAATAATAAAAGAATTATTTTTTTCATCAAAAACTATATCTCTTGGATTATTCAATTGATTATTTTCATTTCCATATCTATTTTCACCTGCAATGATTTCACCTGTCTTTGAATTTAATTTCCATTTAACAATACGATGATTATGGCAATCAGCAGTATAAATTGAGTTATCATTATCAATTAAGATCCCCCAAGGATTAAAGAGTTGATTTAATTCCTGTCCATCTCCATTTCCCCCAGCAACAGTACTTGCAACTTGTTGAAATTTATTCGCTTTTGTTTGAATTTGTGCTAAAATAAAACATTCTCTTTTTATTCAAATCGTTTTCGTTATTTTTAAACAAAAAAAGACGAAAATAAGAAGAAAAATTTGTATTTGAATTTGTTTTAACAAAATAAAATTTTCTTTTTAATGAACAAAACTAAGTTCAAATAATTCCTTCGTTTAATTCAGATTTATTAATTAAAATTCTTCGTTTGATTTTCATAAAAGTTTTGTTTCGGAAAATGTTTTTTCAAATGAAAACCATTTTTATTTATGTGATTTAAATAAAATCCATTAAAAACTTCTTTTTTATTAATAAATTAAATAATAATTTTTTTACTTGAAAATTCTAAACTAAAAAGTTAAATTTAATTTCAACGTATTCGACAATTTAAAATACCTGATTCATTTAGTTGAAAAATTTCTGAGAAAATGTTTTAACAATTTAGAAACAAGATAATCTTTTCATTAAAATATTAAAAGAGATTTTTCAAATGAAAGAAATATAAAAATTCTATTTATTATGAGAAATTTGTTTAGACTTCATTTTTATATTATAGTAAATCTTTTAGAAAATAGAAAAAGTAATGATTTTATAAAAAACTGTTAATTGATTTTTCAGTTAAAATATCTTTATCTATATATAACACAATAAAGTGATATTCTGATGTTTGGCACTTTCAACCATACAAATTAATTTTTTTCACAATTAATAATTTTTAAGAGTTGCTTTCATATTCAAATAATCTGACACATCTCATTGTATCCTCAAAATACAGATTCAAATCATTTAAATATGAAATATTTCAACACTTCTCTCTGGATCTTATATTTGTTCATTTGCAACATTTGAAACTTTTCTTTCTAAATTTCCAATTAATTAAATTTTTCAAAAAGACATTATTAATCTCGTTGATAAAACGAATTTATAATACGAAAAACTTGAAGAAATACTTCATTTTCTCTTTTTTCGAAATGAAATAATTGAATAAACATACCGAATGATGAAATAACTGAAATTTTCTTGATAAATTCTTGTGAATCTTGTCGAATAGAAATATTCGATGGTTGAAGAAATTCTTCTGTAATTTTTGTTAATTTTAATTGAAAATGATTTAAATCAATTTCATTAAATTCATTTTCTTCATGAATTTCTTTTAATTTCTTAGATAACTCAATAAACTTTTTTTCCACATCATTGATCGATTTTTGTGTTAGTTTCATCAGCGTCTCTCGACATTGTTGTGCCGTTTGTTGAATTTGATGGATTGAATTTTTTTCCCACTGATTAATTTGTTGAATTAAAGAAGAATTTAGTGGATTTTGTTTTTGTTGAATAATTGTTTGTTGAAATTGATCATGATCATTAATAATTTCATCTAATTGCCTTTGAAGAATCTGGCGATGTTCTGTTAAATGTTGAAAACAAAAATCTTTTGAACAACCACGACAAATATATGTTGTATTTCCTTTATTACAGATAGAACATTGTACTCTAATGTTTGCTGTTGCCATTTGCTGAAGAATTTGAAAAATAAATAAATAGTTGTTCTCGTTCTGTGTGTGGATTTATTTGTCCAAAACAAAATGAGTCAAAGTCAATAAAGATCAGTAGGTAGTAAAAGAACGACGAAAACGTTTTCTCGATAGATAAGAGATCTTCATCATGAAAGTAATTTAATAATCATTGACATTGAATGAAAATCAAGTCTCTTTAGAGAAGATGAAATATAAGAATTTTATTGATCTTTCGTCTTTTATGTGTTGAGATACAAACAATATTGTAGTTTTCATTGAATAACAAACGAAAGAATTTTCTTCATGAAATTTTGAATAGATGTCATTGCAATCTATCCAATTTTCTTTACTTCACTGAGCAATTTAATACTCTTAGGCATGATGATCAAGGTTTTTCTTGAACTTCTCTCAAAGATGTTCATTAAATGTGTTTAAATAAACAATTGATCTAAAACCAAATCTAGTTAAATTTGAAGAAAATAAAAGAAAAAGAGAAATTATTTCGAAATCTTCGTCACCGTCGAGATTATTATAGAGGATCATCTAAAAAAAACAAAGAACCACATATAATTGAAATGGTTGTGTTGTTATTCAGCCATTTTCTTCAATATTTTCAGCAGCATATGAAGAATTTGGATATGGTCGTAGGTGTTTGTATGAGTCTCAGTTTTTAGGAGTTAACACTAATACTTGTTATTCATCTATAAATATGTGAATATCTGTAAAATTTGTATCCGACCTTTTTGCGTCTTTCTTGTTAAAAAAAAATCTAAATGATGCTGATTTGATTTCGAGTGTTTCATGGCATACTTGTATTAGACGACAGAATCGACTGTTGAATCCTATTGGAATTTGACAGCAAGACTTTGACTTAAACATCTTTCTTCTATTTTCAAAAATACTGTCTACTTCTTTGACTTTTTTGCGTTGCTCCTGAAGAATTTGAAAAAAATATCTTGGAATCTGAAAAGAATCAATGTAACAATAGAATTATGTAAAAAGGTAGATAGAATCTTGTAGAAAAATTGTCGAAAACCGAATGAGGAAATCGTATTCTAGTGTTGAAGTCTAAAAGTAATAAGCTGAATACGGGTAGAAAAACGTGATGAGAATTTCGAGTATAATTGTTAAACTCATCTAATCGAGCATTCTCTATATGATTTAATCTTTACTTATATTTTTAAAATTGATTGTATGAATGAAGTGATACTTCAACAAATTGAATGTTGAATTTTATTCGATATCTAAAAGACTCGAAAATCCATTGTAACTCTTTTAAAATCCTAATGTCAGTATCTCTCTTTCATATTTAAATATAGAATTTCACGAGATGTATGTTGAAATCCGATCGTCAGATCCATAAATGAATATGAGTGTGGGTGTGAGTGTATGATTAATACAATATCCACACCCACACTCACACCCTGCTTTAAAATTCATCTCTTGAGGATGTGGACAAAGTTTATGATCTTTTCATCTAAAAAAAGAAATGAATGAATTTTTATTGCTTCCAATCATCTTCATGTATAACAAATCATTGTTTTGCAATTCAAAATATTTAAATATATGAATATAATTTCGATAAATGAATTTGGTTATAATATTAAATTTTTAAATCGTTTATTAAGATTGAGCAATACATGAAAAAAATGAAATTGATTAACTTTTTGACATAAACATTATTTTTTATCTTAGCATTCTAGGAGATACAAAAAAAAAATAATAAAGATTTTCACCACCATAGATATAAATCACAATACACAATTTTAATTAAATAATGATCATGTAAATTATTTAATTTCATGAGTCGATTTAAATGTGGAATAGATTTTTTCCGTAATTGACCAATACGTAAGAAGAATAGTGGATGTGTTTGTGGAAAAGGTTTAGGTGATAAATATGGAATAAATGTTTCAATTTGTTGTTTACCCATTCCAACATGAAGATATTGCAATTGAGGAAATAAATAAAGAATAAATTGAAATTGTTCTATTGTACATCCTTCGGGAAGAATTTCTAATCGTTTAATATTATTTTGAATTGACAAATGTTGAAAATTTTCCTTTTTTGTAATTAATTTCGAATCAATTCCAATAAAAAATGATAAATAATATTTAATTTGATATAAATTAGGTAAAACACATAATAATTGTAAGAATTGTTCGAAAGGAAAAATACAGTGAGCAATTGTTATTTTAGTTATTTGTTGTAATGGAAGAATTGTATTAAGAATTGTTGAAATTGAAATAAGAGACCCATTTTCAAAACTATTAATAGTTAATTCATCAGCATTTGTAAAATAATTTGAACAATTTTTTGATACTTGTTTAACATCAATAAAAACATGTTTAACTGAATAAAAATTATTTTCTTTGATATCTAAACAAGTTTGTTCATTGTTTTGCCAATTTAATGTATAACATTTTCTTCTAAATAACGAAAAAAAAAGATTAAATTTCGAATTAAAATTATTTATTTTTACCGATAAGGATTTATTGAATAAAATATTCCATTTTGAGAATTATCTTTTGAAATATGTTCATGAGTAAAATACCATTGTTTATCAATCCAAAATGACGAATTAAATTGATTAATTAAATCATGATATTTATCAGCTACACCAGTATGACTTATATCAAAAACACGTAAATTTGGCATAAACGATATAATTAATCTTTCCCATCGTTTTGCATTTAAAAATTGTGGATCATCACATGTTGTTATATGTAAAACTTCAATATAATAAAAATAATTTTTAATAATTTCTTCTAATCGATCAAAATTCATTGAATAAAGGTTAAGTGAAATATTTGAAAAAGATTTTAACCGAAGATGAGAGAAATTCGTTTGTGTATGATGCAGATCATGAATTTTATGAATTGATAAACGACGAAGTTGAGGAAGAAATGATAATAGATTTTCAAAAGATTCCATTGGAAATAAAGGTTCATAAATAAAATGTTCAATTGGACTAACAATATTTGTTGTTGTTGATGATACATCTAAATGAGCCATTATTTGAAAATAAAGTTTACAATATTTTAATTTAGGTAAACGAAATATTTGAAGATAAAATTCATTTGAATTTTTAATAAAATCAATTAAATGAATTGTTAACGAAGATAATTGTGGTAAATTAATTAAATGTTTAAGAACATTTTTTAAATATGCTGAATCAATTTTATTGAGATTTAATGATTCAAGTTGAATAAATTTCGAAATGATTTTTGGTGGTGAAAATATAATAGCAGTAGTAAATGGATTTGATAAACGAAGAGTAGAAATTCGTTGTCTATTAGGTATAATGATCTTCTGATGATAATTATCGAATTTTGTTTTTGACATTGTTGAGATATTAATTCGAAGATAAGGATTTAAATGATTATATAAATTATCAAATCGTTTTGTAAGATTAAAAAATCCATAATAAATATCATAAATGTCAAGATAATTAAATATTTCATAGATTATTTCATTTGGTAAATTTTCGAAAAGTGATATAAAATTTTTACTAGCTGTTGTTGCTAGAAGACAAAGATAAAAGAGATTTATTATTATGTATAAACAAAAGAACTTACATTCAACTTTTCGTTTTTTATTTTCTTGACTTATTTCATTGTACTTTCGTTTACTTCTTAGATTCATGTTTATAATAAAATGATATATTAATAAAAGAGAAAAATACACATGTCGTAGAACATTATCTAGAATAAATAACAAAGAAAAATAGTTCATTTCTTATACATTAGTTGCCAAAAAAAGAGATAAAATGTGTTCTATACTTTATTATCATCAATATCAATAACGATTAAGTAATTAACATTTTTTTTGTGAGTAAATTTTATTCGTTTTGTAGCCTGTTTAGAAGTCGAATATCATACCGTCCTAGGTATGAGTGTTGATGAAAAACTGTCGCACCCGTTTTTTCATCTGTCAAATATGTACTATAAAATTTCCCCAACCGACAGCGGATACTTCCGCTAGTTAGTATTATTTTTCCTCTTCTTATTTAAAATGATTAATAAAAATAAACTTTTGATAATTTAAATGACAAGAACTATCGAGAAAATAGTGTTCGAAAAGAATATTCATTTTCAAAATTACAGAATTGAATCAATTGATCAATAACAATTCAGCAAATAAAAGTTTTCAGACATGATGGTGCGAGCTGCAATTCCCATATAAAATCTATTGAGATAAATCTTTATTTCAATTTTATTAAAGTAAAAGTTAAATAAAATCTATTGTAAATGTTTTTAACTGGATCAATATCTTCAATAACTAAATGAACTAATTTTGAATAATAAATTGTATCAAAAATAACTTTTATCTCTAAAATCCATTTTCGTTGAATAAAATTTATTTAGAATTCCATTATCATGATAAATATCGAATGTAAAATAAATTTTTTCTAATTGTGGTAAATATTTCAAAATAAAACTTTCCCATTCATAAGCAAAATCTAATGATAAAACTTCTAAATTTTCATTGTTTAATTCAGTAATATTGGATCTGAATCAATATGTAAATGAGTTATATTTGATTAAATTCTTTCAATATCATTATCATCATCATTCGAATTACGAAATGAGAAATAATGAAGTTTTGATAAATAAGGTATTCTTGTTGAAAGTATATTGATAGTACACGTATGAGTACAATATATATATATTCAATATTACTTAATTATTTATTATTAATTATTGATTCGACATGGTATTACCAGGCGAAATGATAGGAATGGAAAAAAAAACATTCTTATTGGTCAATAAAGAATCAAATAAGGTTTGAGGATTGCGTAAATAAATAAATACGAATGCAAAACCTATAATTCTTAATCTCAGTTATGCTTCCAATGCATTTGATTCCGTTAGTTTCTGCCCGTTTTTCTACACGAAATTTATTCGAAAAAAAATATTTTCTTCAATTCATTTATACGTACGTATACTCATGTTAATATATGATTAACAAATGTCGAGGATGAATATGGAGTTTATATTACGACTTTAGTTTTGTAGTTTGCTTGCATACGTTCTTTTTCATTTTTCTTGTCGATAATGATGAATCGAATAAGAACAGTAATAATATATTGTCGTCGTAATGTTAATACTTACATTCTCATTGCGAAATTACCGTACACTATTCTCTTCTTTTAAAAATTCATGATGTCAAAATCGATAAAATTTTGACGAAGAAACTGGTGATATTCGGGTGTGGTTGTGGATACAATATCAATATGTAATACTCATATCCACACTCTCACTCAAAATAAAGTCATTTGTCATAGTTATAGATAAAGATAATTTCATTTTCAAATGATAAAATTTATTAATTTATTGAAAAAATTCTTTGCAACAAAATGCAATTTCAATTCGATTTTATTATTAAGTTTTCATAAAATATTTCTTTTCTTCGGTGAAATTCAATAAAAGATGAAGAATTTAACATTTATTTATTCAAATTTTTTAATTAAAATTATCAAATGAAGCTCATTTTTAAAGAAAACCAATTAGAAACACTTTTCTTAGTTTTCTTCTTATCAAAAAACTTCTTTTTCTTCAAAATTTATTCGATTTTTTATTCTAGAAAAAGTTATTTTCTTTGTTTCAAAGTCAAAACCTCATTCACAAAATTATTTCAAATTTTTCAATTCGTTGATTTCCATAATCAACAACATAAAGATGTGCTTCATCATCAAAAGATAAACCACGGGGATAATTCAATTGATTTGATTGATTTCCTTTACCATTTCCACCAACAACAATTTCACCTTCTTCTTTTCCTTCACACCAACGCATTACTCGATGATTCCCAAAATCTGCCACATAGATTCGACCCAAATCATCAACAATCACTCCTTGAGGATAAGACAATTGATTTAGATTTGCTCCTTTACCATTTCCTCCAGCGACAATTCTTGCCTCTTTTGCACCTTTTCTCCATCTCATAACACGATGATTGTTTCGATCTGATACATAAACAGATTGATCTTCGTCAACGAAGATAAAATTAGGGAAATTACGGTGACTGAGTTTATTTCCTTCTTCATTTCCACCTGCCACTATAATTCCTTCGTTGTTATATTCTCCCATCTGCCATCGTCTCACTTCATTCTTCTCAGCATCAGAAACATAAAGAAATCCATTTTTATCCATTGTCAGTCCCAAACAGTGAATATTTTCAATGAGAATTTGTGGAATTTGATTCCACCATCGAATTACTCGTCTGTTCCCACCATCAGCAATGATGATCGAATGATTTTGTGGGTCAACAATCATATCTGTTGGATTACTCAATTGATTCATTCGATCTCCTTGTTTATTTCCACCTGCAATGATTTGTCCTTCTTTTGCATTATATTTCCATTCAACAATACGATGATTTGCATAATCAGTAATGAAAATATTTTTCTTTCCGTCAATAAAGATTCCATAAGGGTAATTGAGTTGATTTAATTTTTGTCCTTCTCCGTTTCCACCAGCCACAGTGATAGCACTTTGCTTCCATTTATTGAATTTTGATTCTAGAAAATGATGAAAACAAAAGATTTTGATGAAAAAAAGAAAACTTTTTTTTCATCAAAGAATAAAGAAAATAAGTGGTAAAAGACGATGAATAAAAGAAATTTAAACAAATCGAAATAAAACAAAATAAAAGAGAAGAAAGATTTTTAAACTAATCACATAATTCTCAATGAATTAAAATCAACTATAAATTACTCATTATTTATTATAAAATGTTAAGGTATAATTCTATTTTTGAATTTATCAATACATAATCATAATAAAATAAGGAAAGTTTTTAATGTATTCTTTCATAGATTCATTTGATTTAATTTTGCTAAAAAATTCTTTCAATCTCGAAAAAATATCTTCCTTCACTAATAGATATAAAGAAAATGAAACTAATTTTGTTCGTTAACAAAATTAATAATCATGAAGAATGTTATAAAAATTCTCTTTTAAATGAAATGTTTCTATAATATCACAGTTTGAAAACATCTCTTTGATATTTACTTAAGAAAATTTGTACTTTGAATAAATAGATAAAACTAGTAATTTCTGGGATTTAATGAAATTCTATTTGATTTTAAGATCATAAAATCAACTATCTCTCACTTATTGATAGTTTTTGCATTTGAAAAGAATATTTTAATCATCATCGATTTATTCAATCGTTGAAAATAACTCTTAAATATTTATATTAAATAAAGAAATACTGTTACATATATCTTATATAGATATTCAACTATCATAATTTGTAGGATTCTTTTCAATATTCATTAATTAGTATATAATGACACTTTCTAACAGTTGATGTCAAACTCATGAAAGTATTATTGATGAGATTTGGAAAATGAAAAAGTAAATGTTGATTTTTTTAGAATAATTAACAAAATTTCAAAATTTCAAGAAAATTTTTCTTTAATAAAATTTTATTTTATATTCTCTGGTTCTTTTTTTTGCATATAAATAAATTAAGTTTTCTACTCCTATTAATACTTATTATTGACTAAATAACTAAATAACACTCTCAATTGCTTTATCTTCTTCAATATTATTTTTCTTTGTATTATATTTTTTGTAGAAAATGAAAAGTATTCTTTTAGAAATAATTTCTTAAAAACTTACTTTTCGGTGAAATAATTGAAATTTCATTAATAAATGATTGTGAGTCTTCTTTAATAGAAATATTTGATGAATTATTTAATTCTTCTGTAATTTTTCTTAATTGATTATTTAAATAATTTAAATTGATTTCATTGAATTCATTTTCGCCATGAATTTGTTTTATTTGTTCAGATAAATCATTAAATTTCTCTTCAATCTCATTAATAAATATTTCTGAAGATCTAATAACAGTTTCTCTACAAGTTTGTGCTTTCTGTTTAATTATTTCAATTGAGTTTGTTTCCCATTGATTAATTTGTTTTATTAATAAATCATTTTGTGGATTCTGTTTTTTTTCATTAATTCTTTGTTTAAATTCATCATAATTATTAATAATATGATTTAATTCTTCATTTAATATTTGTTGATGTTCTGTTAAATGAATTAAACAAAATTCTTGTAAACACCCTCTACAAGAATATGTTATTTTGTCTTTATTACATGTAAAACATTGCGTTTTATTGTTTGCCATTGCTATCTCGTTGAATATAAATTTATAAAAGAATTTTATTGTGACAAAATCTCACTGATAAAACCGATGTGATATCTAAAATGGTTCCACGAAAACTGAGAATTGGTTTCATCTTAATTTCAAATACAAAATGCAAACAATTTTCATGATATTTTTTAATAAAAATATGTTTTAACGTAGATTGAGGGTGTGTTTATTAGTGAGTTCTCATTCATCCACATCAACACGCATCATCGCTCATTAAAACTGATTTAATCTCATTGAGACCTATATAGAACAGAAAGATGGACTCGAAAGCTCCGAATCTGTTATGCTAGTACCTGTATTAGTATATCTTTTTATCAATATCATCATTTAACTTTCGTAGAATTTGTTCTTCTATTTCTGAATCATCTAATCTACGATACTTATTTGAATTTGTTGTTGCTGATTAATTCATGATAGATTAGAATACCAGGAAAATCTTACAAATAAGAAATGAAACAATAATATTCTTTTCTTAAATGCCTTTGAAAATATATCATCGAAAAAAACGTGTGGTAAATACCCACTAAACACACCTAAATACGAAGGAAAGAAAAAAAACAGATATAAATATGATATTTTTTCTTTTCTTGTTTTTTTTCCGCTTGAAAACTACCTTCACAAGCCACCGTTTTTATTTTGTCATTATATGGTGATTTGATATATCTGTTTTCTTCCTATTCATGACAAAATTTCAGCGAAGAAAGGTAAAGAAAGAAAAAGAATGTACAAACATTGAATAACTATTTATTTGTCGTTCTGAAGTAATCGTTCGTAATACGAAAAGAACAGTTAATTAAGTTGGAATATTTCATATGAAAATGAATCGAAAGAAAAATAGAAGAAGAAATCCAACAAAGGATTATAAGGTATATGATAAAAAAGAAATAGAAATAAATTGTCAATATAAGTATATAGTCGAGTGTGTAGGGGGATATGACGATCTCTTTATAATAGAAAGCATTATCAGTTAAATGAGAAGTATAAGAAAAAGGGAAAGAGAGAAGAGTAATATCACGTCAACAAGATTATTTTTTATATGGATGAATAATTTCTACTCGTCTATCAGTACTTGCATTATTCGTTTATACAATTTTTTATTTTGCTTCATAATTTTTTTTGCATTCTGGTCGTAGATTCTTTTTAAAGATAGTTTACCATTGGAAGATTCGATTGCAAAGTAATTATACGAGAGAAAGAAATTGACGAATTCCAAACAGATATAAATCAGTCTCCACCCATCAGATAATGAAGTCGTTTTTTCGCTAGAAATTGTTTTTTGATTTTATCTTACAATGTGAACCAGTTGTAGTTCGTTGAGAGTTACAAAATAGTGTATTCAGATTTTCTCGGAGATCTAACCGATTCTAATAAAAGTCAAAGTTAGAGATACTACTGAAGTATAGTTCATTCTATCAAACGACATATATTTAAATAATTGCAAATTTTCAAATATGCGATTTGAAAAAACGTTTTTTTAAAATCAATTTCGTATTTTATCAACATATTTTAATAGAATTTATTGATTTTTATTGAATAAAGATTTCAATTAATTTAGAAAAAAAATTCTAATTATATCTCAACATATTCTTTTGCTTTACATTTATCATTTCTTGAATGATTTACTAAATAAAATATTTTATAATAAACATGAAATTTAAAAAAAATAAAGTTATAGGTAGAAATAATTTTATATGACTATCAACCTTCATTTTATTAGAGAAATATTTTTCTTTTTGTTCATGTTTGATGATAAGTGTTGTTTTATACTTTTCCATCACATGAGATAAAAGTAATTTATACATATTGTTTTATTAAGTTGACGATGATATTGTGTTAATCATAAAACAAAACTCAAGTAATCAAATTAGAATGAATTATCATTTTATGAAAAACTATTGAAAATTCACACTCGTTTTAAATTATTTATCTGTCAATTGGAACTATAAACACATGAACAACAAGATCAACAAACAATTTCCTTTAGATATCTATAACTATTTGTATATATATAGTCACAAGATATAAAATGAAATTAACTTGTAAATCTTCAATTTGTTTCACAATAAATACATTTACTAATATGAGCAAAATTATACCGAAATTTTTTCATATCTAATAATATTAATTCTGAATCATCAACTAAAGAACATGAGTATTCATCATTTAAACTTATATCTCATACAATCATCAGTCCTTCACTTTCTTATTTGAAAAATACGATCTTCTACATGTTCTTTTTCATAATTTATATGTTCAGATTTTGTGCAAACGACATAAGTGTGTATAGATCGTCAGTTTGGACATTTATCTTTGAATAATCAACACCCAGTATTTTAGATGAAATTGCCCATTCTAAGTCGATATTTCCTTCTCAGATGATTTCATTCGCAGCGGACTTAAATTTAGGATTCATCTTAACACGTAGAGTTCTCTTCGAAATTCCTAACCGAATATCAACAAGAAAAACGCGAATCTGCTGCTCACTTTACTTACATTTTATGAATATATTTATCAAAAAAAACAAGTCTCAAATCACAGAAATATTTTTCATTTTATTTTCGATAACAAAAAGCATTTTTACATAGCTGAACGTACTTTTGGCAAAATTAATTTAATCATTTTTATTAAATGTTTTGTCAGCTTAAACTAATTAAAAATTCATGAAAAATATTTCAAATTTTTTATTTTAGATTCAAAAGAAGAAAATGTTTTTTTAAAAGAATTCAATTAAATCTCATGTAGAGGGTGTGGGGTGGATGTGGGAGTGGATGTTTAATGAAGGAAGAGATACCCACACCCTCAATAGCCAATAAAAATCAAGTTACGAAAAAAATATTTTGCCTAGAGTAACTCAACGTGAAGAGTTCAAATCCCAGCAGTATTCGGTCCTATATCTTATCAGATGGATACAGTCAATAGAAATCGTGCTTATAGAAAAGATTTTCCATTATAATTCTGATACCCGAACATGCTAGGAAGACTCATCTGTCTCATACACTTTTTGTAGTACATATAACTCTCGGATAAAATCCGAAGTTTCCGTATTTACTTATCAGTAATAGAGACATATTCAAAGTTTATATCTGTAATGACATGCTTAGAGAGACTTTTGATAAATATAATCTTTTTTCCCTATACGTGAAAAAGTAAATTTTTTTGTTAAAATCAATATTGATATTTAACAAAGGATCTCTTTAGGCACGTCTTTATGGATATAAACTCTGAACATGTCTCTATCATTGATAAAAAAAATCAGCACGTTTATACGAGCCGTAATGGAGTTATTCAAATTTCTTATCGGGGGTGTTATTTATTGCCCACCCTGTATATAATTAAGTCTTTGAGAATTCGTATCATAAATTTTTATTCTATTCATAGATATATCTTTCATATATAAATCAAAATACAATAATGCGCAAGATTCGAATTCTTTTCGTGTTTATTATATTACTAGGAATATCATTAGTTTATAGAATGTCTTTTTTTAAAAGTACGTCGATGTTTTATGATATTAATACAATACAATTATTGATTCATTCAAATCCACCTATGGATGAATTTACTAAATGTTTACTTGATGCACAACATGTATTTGTTAATTTATCATTACCATGGTTTCTTGCTTTTGGAACAGCTCTTATGTATTATCGATCAAATAATTTTACTTCCGATGATATTGATATTGGAATATTTATTGATGATTTTGAAAAAAGGAATATAACTCATGCCAAGTTTATATCGACAGTTGGTAGATATGATTTTAAACTACTTTTTGTATATGGTAATATGACACATGGACAAGGTTGGACACTTGAGTGTCCTCGTTCTAAACTACATTTTGGTATTTTTGTTTTTTATCATGGTGATCCAGTCAATAATGAAACATTTGCATGGTGGACAGCTTCCTACAATGGATTGTGCGATAAAAAGCGTTACCATAAATGTCGTTGGTCATTTCCAGAGTTTAAATTAGATACTTTCGAAATGTATGGACAACAATTTCAGGTAGCTCCAAAACAGTTTTTAACAGTACAGTATGGAACTAACTGGACGATACCTCAAAAATATGGGTATTTTGAATCACTTGAATTTTTAACTAATCTTATTGATGAATAAGAAAATTAATATTATTAAAATAAAGTACAATAATCTATTTTTAATTGTGTTAATAATATCTCTTTTTTGTTAATAAAATAAAAGCTAGTCGATATTTAAGATAGATCACTTTTACTTGTCAATGCCAATCTAAAAAATGTCAATGGATGTGCAAGTGATATTGAATGTAGTAAGGATACTAGTTTAACATAGAACTATTGAGAAATAGTACATCATAAAACTCATGTATGAGTGTGATAGTACTAACTTTTTTACCTATATTCTCGCTATCGTTTTTTTATACATATGTATTCTTAATTGGCTTTTCATTTTCATTCTCATTTACTTCTGCCCACTGATTTTATGATTATTTTGTTTGTAGGTTCTAGTCTACCCAATTCTCATCGTGTGTGTGTGGGTGGGTGTGGGAGATTAGAATACACTTAAAGTCCCACATCCACTCACCCACGCCCATCCTCAACATTTGTTTTGTTCAACAAAATTCAACTCGATCCGATTTTTATTTCAATTTAATTCAAACTATAAAATATTTTTTGCTGTTTTCTTCTGTAAAATTCGACAAAAAACAATAAAAGATGAACTATTGAACATTGGTTCATTCTAATTTTTCAATCAAAATTGTCAAATTAAATTCTATTCGATTTTCTTCATTGATTCTCAATAATAAAACTTGACCTTTTCTTTTACTTTTATTTCTCCGCTTTTTATTCAACAAGAGATTTTTTTTCTTTGTTTCAAAATCAAAATTTCATGGACAAAATTATTTCAAATTTTTCGACTCGATGATTTGAATAATCAGCAACATAAAGGTTTCCTTCATCATCGAAAGACAAACCACAGGGACCATTCAATTGATTTCCTTGACCATTTCCACTAACAACAATTTCACCTTCTTCTTTTCCTTCACACCAACGAATTACTCGATGATTCCCAAAATCTGCCACATAGATTCGACCCAAATGATCAACAATTACTCCTGCAGGATTAGACAATTGATTGAGATTTTCTCCTTGACCATTTCCTCCAGCCACAACTGTTCCTTTTTTTGCATCTTTGCTCCATTTCATCACACGATGATTGTTCCATTCTGATACATAAACAGATTGATCTTCATCAACAAAGATAAAAGTAGGAAAACTGAGTTGATTGAGTTTATTTCCTTGTTCATTTCCACCTGCCACTATAATTCCTTCATTGTTTTCTCCCATTTTCCATCGTTTCACTTCATTCCTCTCACGATCAGAAACATAAAGAAATCCATCTTTATCCATTGCCAAGCCCCAACAGTCAATATTGTCAATGAGAATTTGTTGCTTTTGATTCAACCATTGAATCACTCGTTTATTCGCACCATCAACAATGATGATCGAGTGATTTTGTTGATCAACAATCACATCTGTTGGATAACTCAACTGATCCATTCGATTTCCTTCTCCATTTCTACCTGCAATGATTTGTCCTTCCTTTGCATTACATTTCCATTCAACAATACGATGATTACTAAAATCAGCAATGAAAATATTTTTGTTTTTATCAATAAAGATTCCGTAAGGAAAATAGAGTTGATTTAATTGTTGTCCTTGTCCATTTCCAGCAGCCACGGTGATGGCATTTTGTTTCCATTTGTTGGATTTTGGTTCTAGAAAAGAATGAAAACTAAACGTTTTAATAAAAAGAAAATTTGTTTTTTATTCAATAGAAATTAACAGAAAACATTGTTTAGTCTCATTAGAAATTGTTAAGATCATTTTCTTTTCTGATCATGATCATCACAATTTATGATTGTTACTATAAGAAATAATCATAAAAAACTCGTCCATTGTATCAATATGATCTATTACAAAGAAACTAAATATATTGATAATCTATAATGTATATAAATTATTGTCAGTTGAAGTCATTCTTTATAATAAAAGAGTTAGTATCTTCCATTGTATCGTACTAAACAAATCCCTTCCGAAGTTTTCTATTCTAATACTCATGTTTATATAATTCTCGATAAAACATAATTTGAAAAACTCTTCTTATCTTCAGACTTTCAAGTCCTTGTCTAATTAAAATATTCTAAAAATGGAGAATATTCCAGCAAAATCTGTTTTTTATTGATTGAATTATTTGTAAATATTGATTTAAATGAATGAAACTAAAATAATAACAAAACATGTGCATTAAATGAGAAGAAAATCAAATAAAAAACTCAGATGATAAATTCATTGAATGAATTTATTACTTATAACTATATAATCATCGAATTAAATTTTAAAAGAAACGAATTTATGACAGAAAATCTAGTTAACATCATTAAAATCAAATATTAATAAGATGAAAACAATAAGAGAAGTTGACAAAATACTGAATGTGCGAAACATAAAATGTATTTTCTTACGATCATTGATCATTCACTCTCACGTACATCCGTCGTTTTCGTCTCGAACATCCGATCATTTTGATTGCGATGTTCCGGACTTTTCATTCGGAACATCCGAATTTTTCTGTGCGATGTCCGAAAAAAAAGCAAAGACGAAAAGAGGTTATCACAGTTTTTTATATAAACTTCATTTCAATATATTAGATTTTCTATCGGTGTACTTACTAAACGGATTCTTTGGTTTACTAATGCTGGAGGAAGAAGTAGATTGACGCTGGTTTTTCATTTCAGTTGCTTTTTGATGCCGTTCTGTACTATTGTCCATGTGACCAGCATGTGCTTCAAGTTTGCTCAGATCTTGATACAAATCAGTTCGTGAAGGATCGTTGAGTGGAGGCTGTTCTAACAAACATATAAAGTATTAGAGTTAAAACTACTGAACCATTCTTTATACTGAGTTTATTAACACTAATTATAACTCAAGAAGATTTTAAATTACTGTCATATTATTGAAACATAGACAAAGAGGTATGAAAATCAGGTCAGAGCTTCTCTTATGTTAAAGTATTTTTATATAAATCTCATTTCAATATTCAAGATTCTCTATCCGTGCACTTACCAACACGATTCTTTGGTTTACTAATGCTGGAAGAAGAAGTAGATTGAATTTGTTTTCTCAATTCACTTGCTTTTCGGTGCCATTAAATACTCTTGTCCAGGTCACCGGCGTGTGATTCAAGTTCGCCTAGATCTTGATACAAATCAATCCGTAAAGGGTCATTGAGTTGTAGTTGTTCTAACAAACGGATGAAGTATTTTCTAGCCAGATTAATTTGGCTCATTCCTCGTAATATTTTTGTTAATGTTTGAAGATTAATTCCTTTACTCATAAATTGCTCTTTCATATCTATGAGAACTTGTTTCAAGTCATGTTCTTCATCATTGCACAATGTCATTTCGATGATCCATACTTTATCATTTTTCCTGTGCTTGACACTATCCAATCGAAAAATGGAACCAAGCATAAAAAGAACTTCAGCTTCACCTTTGAGTTCACTAAATTCAGTGATATCAGCAAATGGTTTTGTAATTGCCATCTTAGGATCAGCATCAATTTGAAATAATATTGCTTCTAAATTTTCTGTACCATCAGAATCGTTAAGAAATGCTAGAGCTTGTTGTTCATTAAAACTAGTAGAGAGAAATGAATTGATGGAAATAAATTTACCACAATTCTGTTTCAAAGTTTCCAGTTCATTGTTTGATATCATTTGACATCGATAAACTCGAAGACGTTTTTTAGCTTGATGACTCTTTAATTGATATTGAATATCAGCGATATATTTACGAAATAGAAATATTGTATGAATATCTGCTGGGGTACGAAGAGCAGCATTAAGAGTCTTGTAAAAGAACGATTCTCGTGTATACCACCATAAAACTTCGTCAGATGAATATCTTTCACGAAATTCATGAATATTATTCAATTCATCATTATTACCTTGATATTGTTTTTTACAAAGATCAACAAGTTCTTTTTTATCATCTTCAGTATATTGCAGTTGGATAAGAAAATCAATGAGAATTTGTGAGAAAACAAATTCACCATTTAATCCTGTTGTCGAACTACCTGCACCACCACTTTTAGTAAAAATATTAATTGATAATGGTTCTTCAACCATCTTTTGAATTTTATGATCAGCTTTAATTCGAGAAACAAGTTCATCAAGATCAGTTACAACAGCTTTTATCTATCAATACAAAATAAATCATACAATAGAAATCTAAGAGATTCAGTTTAATTCTACTTTTTTGTAGTTTCGAGCCCATTTTTCGTTACCTTCCTTATCCATACAATATACATAAATCGATATAACTTGTCTAAGATGATGAATAGAAGGAACTATTTCTCTTCCTAAGCTTCCACTAACAATCATAACTACTCGTTCTTTTGTTGATCGTTCATGAATATATTTTTGACATTGTTCTGTATCATGAAATTTCTTGAGATGATTAATGATAGAACGTAATTTTGGTTCAGTATCACGACCTTCTTTAGTAGTTGAACTAGCATCGAGACAGAGTAGACAGAAAATTTCAAGATGCATCTCGTCAGATTTACTGTGAGAGACATCCGTTGATAAACTAGCACTAGCCATGTTAATCAAGAAGATAGAACAATTTCGATTGTATAAGTTTTCTTACAGATCTAAAATACATTTTAACCATTGTTGTTGTAATATTAACAGTAACAGAAGTGCTATCACCATGAGCTTCTTCTGTCAGAACTTTCGAGATGAGAAATTTATACAAAAGAATAACTGTTACGTTTATCCTACTCACTTTACTTTGTCTCCAAATTAAATTATATTTTTTTCAGTCACTTTTGTTGTAGAAAAATAAGAGAACAGCGTAAAATAGATAACGACATTGATGGCAAATAAAAAAAGAAAGTAGAAGTATGTTATCAGAAGTATAATAGGAATGGAAGAAACTAAGAAAAAACTTCGCTTTATGGTGTTCTTTATTATAAATCGTTGGAAAAGTTTGAAGAATAGGTGGATGTGGGTATAAGTAGTAGTTTAATGCACAACCACACCCACGCGCGCTTTAGTTCATAAATTGAATTATCAATGATAATATCAAGTTCGAATGTTCTACTAACAGAAACAATAATCGAAACCTGTCAATGAACTGATTCACATTTATTTTTATATTCATAATTTATTCATCTTCAAAATTCTAAGATAAATAAATATGTTGTTTTTCAATGAGTTGACAATAGTTGAGCAAAGAAAACAAATTCGCTCAATCAGAAAAAATAACTAATTCATGTTTTATGTATTTGTTTGCTTGTTAAACACTAAACTAATGATATTAAAGAACTTGACTCGAGAATACTGTTACTTTTAAGATTAAGATTAAATAATTAATTGTAAAAGTGAAATATAATATCATTGTAAAGTTATTTGAATTATTTTCTATTGCTAAATATTGAATTTTGATTAATTATTTATTCATTTAATTTGATTATTTTCTTTAAGTGAAAAATCCTTAATTGTTTGTTAAATAATCGTCTAATTGAGAGATTTTTTTATTTTCTTTTATTTATCAGTATAATAGAAGAATAATTCAATTTTTCTTCACTATTTTTTTATTTTAATTGTTTATTTTATATTATTTTTAATATTTAAATGTAAAAATTATTTTTAGAATTGTTTTCATTCAATAATTTTTTCAGTTTGACAGATTTCATTCTTATTCATTTATCTTTTTTCTTCTTTCTTCCATTTCTCTCAATAAATCATAAAATCATAAAAATAAATCTAATAAAAAAACAATTTGTTATTATTTAGAAGTCTTTTTATTTACTACAACGTTTTTCTTAATTTGAAAAATATTTTGTCTGATTTTTCTATTAAAATTAAATTTTTTCTAATTCAATTTTATTTCAAATTCTTTTAGTTTGATTCATTCAGCGAATATTCTATTTGAATTATTTTATTCATTTTGGTTTTTTACTTTAGAATTAAAATTAAAAAATTTTTATTTACTTTTTATCTAAAAATAAAACACCAATTCATTTTTCTTCAAGATTTTTTATAAATAAATGTTTTTATTTCTTTTCAAAAATAAAAATCCAACTTTTATCAAATTAAATTAAAAAGATTTTTAATTTAAAATTTTTTCATATTTTTGGATTCGATCATTTCCCCAGTCAACAACATAAAGATTTCCTTCATTATCAAATGATAAACCTGTGGGGCGATCCAATTGATTTGATTCATTTCCTTTGCCGTTTCCACCAGCAACAATTCCACCTTCTTCATCTCCTTCACACCAACGCATCACTCGATGATTCAAACAATCTGCTACATACATTTGACCCAAATGATCAACAATCACTCCTTGAGGACAAGATAATTGTTTGAGACTATTTCCTTGACCATTTCCACCAGCAATAATAATTCCTTCTTTTGCATTTTTTTTCCATTTCATCACACGATGGTTGTCACGATCTGATATATAAAGAGAATAATCTTCATCAATAAACATAAAAGCAGGGAAATTGAGCTGATTAAGATGATTTCCTTGACCATTTCCACCTGCAACTAATTCACCTTTTTTATCTCCTTGTTTCCATCGTCTAACTTCATTATTCTGAGAATCACAAACATAAATAAATCCGTTTTTATCAATTGTTATACGAGAACAGTTAATATTTGAAATAATAATTTGTTGACTTGTTGGATTATTGCCAAAATATCGAATTACTCTTTTGTTCTCACTATCACAAATAATAAAAGAATTATTATTTTTATCAAAAATTATATCTGTTGGATAACTCAATTGATTATTTTCATATCCTTGTGCATTTCCACCTGCAATGATTTGACCAGTATTTGAATTCAATTTCCATTTAACAATACGATGATTATTAGAATCAGCAATATAAATTGATTTATCATTATCAATAAAGGTTCCGTAAGGATTATTGAGTTGATTTAATTCCTGTCCACGTTCATTTCCTCCAGCAACAGTAATTGCAGATTGTTGAAATTTATATTTTTTTGTTTGACTTTGTTCTAAAATAAAAGATTTTCTTTTTATTCAAAATTTTTTTCGTTGTTTTTAAATCAAAAAAGAGCGAAAATAAGAAGAAGTTGTATTTCAAGTTGTGTTAATAAAATAAAATTTTCATTTTATTAAAGTTAATTTTCAATAGAAGAAAATTAATTCTAAACAATTTCTTCGTTCAGTTGAGATTTTTTAATTAAAATTTTTTTATTTTATTTTCATAAAGGTTTAACTGAAGAAAATATATTTTTTAGATGAAAATGATTTTTATTTTAATGATTTAAATAAAATTTATTAAAAGCTTCTTTTTTATTGATAAATGAAATAATTTTTTTATTTGAAAATTCTAAACTAAAAAGTTAAACGTAACTTTAATTTATTCAACAATTTAAAAACAACATAATCTTCTCATAGAAATATTGAAAGAGATTTTTCAAGTTAAAAAAAAATTTGAAAATTCTGTTTATTCTCAGAAGTCTGTTTAGATCTGAATTATAATCTTTAATTATTTTATTTTCTAATTAAGATTTTCAACAAATCAAATTCAATAATAATATACCAAATATTTCTTATTAATCAGATTATTTTCGGATTAATATTATAAATTTCACACTAATTGACTTATTAAACTACTTGTAATTGAATAATAAAATGTTCTCTTTAGTTTTCTATAAATATTTTCGTCTAACAATATATTTGGATTAGTAAAATAAAATAAATAAATATGAAATTTGTAATTAAAAATTAATCTAATTCGAAACCATCTTGCTTTTTTATTCGTTCGTTTAGAGAAATATGACAAATAAAATAATCTTTTCTATGAACTTATTAATTAGATTTTACACAATTATTCTCATATTCATTTATTTATCAAAATTCATTTTATTGATTTTTTATCTAATAAATATAGTAATTGAACTACTTACTTGGATTTGGTGGTTCATCATCATCATCGTCATCATCATCACTAATTTCTTTTAGATGAATAATATTTAATCCACCATGATGACTTAATGGATCAGATACAACTTCAAACATCGTTCCAGGCATTAAAATAACTTCGTTTTCATTTGGATAACATGTATATGATGAAATGGATTTTCCATTTAAGCATTCAATATTAAATAATGTACTTGAAGAAGTTTTATGAAGAAATGAAGAAATAACATTAATAGATGTTGAACATGAACTTATACTCCACCAAGTAATTCTCTGACCTTTTTTAAATTTCATAGTAACATCCTTATCAATTCCACGATAAATAATTCCTTTAAATCTCGGTAATTTCGATGTTGCAGAATCTAGAAGTTTTAAATATCCAAACCATGGACGAACTTTTGATCGATCTTCTAGTCGAAGTGTTTGATTTAAAACTCGATAAACACTTGAATCATCAGTCATTTCCATAGTATAAATATAAATTGCAGCAGATTCATCTTTTGTTAAATTATAATCATTTGGATATGTACAATATTTTTTTGCTAATTTAACAAAACGATTTATTTCTATTAGAAAATCTTGTAATTCTTTCATCGCATCTTCAAGAGATAATAATTTCCAAGCAATATAACCAAAACATGCTGGCAAACGTTTATTTTCCAGTTCAATATCTGTAAAACGATCTCCTGAATGACTCATTATAAGTAATTATTTATTCAAACTGCTTCTGTTAAATGATCAACTAAATAAGAAAAAAAGAAAAACTTTTTTTGATTTGTATTATGATTAGTAAATTTGAAAAAATTGGCAATCAAAGCTACTTTACTACAATTTTATATTCTTTCAATTTAATCATATTTAAATGCGATCGATGGATGTGTGAGAATGAGGGTGAATCTCCGGATTACCATGACAGTGAAGATGGTAGTAGACAGCTTGGTGTAGATACCAAGGGGCGAATATAGGTATGAATATTATAATCATCACCCAATAATTTCATTTCCATGACATCCTCACATCGTACACTTTAACTGACAAACCGCATCTTCATACATACTCTCATCATCTGCACTAATATCTAAACTTATAGACTTGATGTTTCCTCTTTTGCAAACTCCCAAAAGAATAGAACTAGTTGCAAAAATAAATATCTCTGTAGCACCTAGAATCATTGAAAAGTCATAACACTGGTCTGGGAATCTACTTAAATTTTAAGCTTATGACAACCTTTGTGGTTAAAATGGGCAACAGTTTGTACAAGGATATCCATTTCAACTCTATCTCACACAGATTCATCTCTAAAAGAAAACAAACGCTGTAAAAGAAGATAGTTTGAGTAATACTTGCTGACTTGGGTTATTTATGAATCACTTGCTATCCTATCTTTTTGGACGTATATGTTGGTAACAGTTTCTTTCGCCGTAATAAATGAAAGTATGCACATTAAAGATAATTCACCTTTTATACACGAAGCTAAATAAATTCTTTTATCTTGGTTTTTAAAAAGAATGATAAACAAGGTTATTCATCCAAGTTGGTAAGAAGTGTCTGTTTTGCTTCTACTGGTGATGATATTATTTATCTTCATAGAGTTTCTTCTCTGCTTGCAAAAGATAAAAACAAAATTCTTGAGGAGTGTGAGTATCGACGTGAATGTGGATATTATATTCAATCTTTTCACACAGTCACACATACACCACTAGTGTAACCGAGAGGAGGAAAATGGACAACTGATTCTCTCAACTAAGGTCGAAAGTAAAAATATCGAAGTAAAAAATGCCGACGTATAAAAATGTCGAAGTATAAGAATATCGAAGTGAAAAATGTCGAAGCAAAAAAGTCGAAATATGAAAATGATAAGATTCTGGGTGTTCGAAACAACGTAATGGGAAAAATAAAGAAAGACGTTTGAGGGTGGGTGTAAATATAGACATTTATCTACATTTACCTACACCCATACCCACACCCTATAAAGAGATTGTCATCTCTCTTCTTCTTTGTGAAAGAGATATCTTCTTAACGTCTGATATTAATATAGCCAAACGTTATGCTTCCACTTTTACTTATAACGGAGACAATATTATATTGTGCTTCAGAATCCAGTCAATCCA